TCCTACACAGGTGCAGGATTCTTTAGGCCATCCTCTACTCTTTTCCCAGGCCACAAGCAGGAATTTGGATGGGAAGTGGAGCAGCTGAAACATAAACCAGCACCCATAAGGGACCCTAATACAAAGCAGGAATTTAATTACTAAGGCATTGCGCCAGGCCCCAGCTATTCTTTCTTTGTAAACATGGACACTTGAATTTCTACTGTAAGTATATTTCTCCAAAGGAAAATATCCCATTTCCAAAATGATGTTTGGAAGGTGAGGGAAACGGAGTGTACACTGGAGACCCATCCTGGCTGGACTGGCCAACACAGCGCTTTACTGTTCTCTGCTGTAGTCCGTCACCTGTCACTTACACACCTGGACAGGAATGTTTGGCACATCCCAAGCAGCAGAGCTACACACTGTCACTAAGAACAAGAAAGTGACAGTGCCAACGGGGAACTAAGACACAGGGATCAGTGAGTTGTTGAGCAGTAAGCTGGTCCAAAGCAGACCAAAGCAGACTCACTGATGAGCAAAATCCCAGAGACACAGCAAGTACACAGCTACCCAGGCACGTGGTCCTTGATGCAGTTCCTGAGGCTATCTGCCGTGAGACTTTACTGTCTGAGCTAGTGGGGACTCAGACCAGGGGGATCCTGCTCGGCTGAGCTCATGCACATGCCTGCCATTTGTCATGGGAATTTCCAGGTTAGGTACTAAAGTGCACTGCCGTGCAGCAAGACAAACAGGAGCTCTCCCCAAGGAAAAAAGCTTCGGAAGGCTGATTCTCCCAAGCTCTCCCTTTCCTTACCACTTCCTCCTTCCTCAGGTATCCCATTGCTTCCTTCTCACCTCCTGTTTCTGTTCTCCAGCTCTGACAGGCCGTGCCACCGACCTTATTAAGACTTGGGGATACTCAGCTACTCCAAGCAGAGGGGACACTCCCTGGGCCCATTCGCACTGACATGGAGCAGGGTCCTACCTACTCAGATGATCTGGCTGGGTTAGATGTGTCTCATTAGATGTAATCTCAGACAGTTGACCCAGATGAAGCTGAAAACACTCAGGACTCTTGAAACAGATTCATAAATTATAGTCCAAATGGGCTTGGAGAGCAGCTGTGCAAATGATCCGCCTGGATGATTTATGAGCTGACCATGTGTGAGCCACCTCCGTGACATCAACATCCCACACTGAGTGTGGGTTTAAGACCCAGCTGCCTGGCTTCAGATCCAGCTCCCTGCTGATGAGCCTGAGAAAGCAATGGAAGATGGCTCAAGCACGCGGACTCCTGCCACCCACATGGGAGGCACAGATGATATTCTATGCTGGGCTTGGGCATCCAGAGAGGACTAGTTGGGAGATGCGAGAAGGATGATCCAAGGTGGAGAACTTGAACACTGACCCCAAAGAAGTAAGGTGGACACTGTGGCCAGAGCCCTTATCCTGACACCCAGGGAGAACACCCACCTGCCACGTGAGCTCATGCATTTCAACTTTACCATCAGTTCAACCAACATCAGACACATCATTCAACAGGGATGACCCTGAGTGACCACGTTTCCCTGAGTGAGACTTAATGGTATTTGGAAGCAACGGTTTTAATCATATGAATGGATTATAATGGCCCTAATTGCTTCTGTCAGAAATGCTTCCTCTGATCTTTATAAAGAGGCTGTTATGCCCCTGACACAATGTTAAAGACTGCGGGTTACCACAGCACAATGAATAAAAATGGGGCTGATTCAGTGGTATGGTGGATAAAGCTTCCATACGTGATGCCGGCATCCCATATGGGCACTGCTTTGAGTCCCAGCTGCTCCATTGCTGATCCAGCTCCTTCCTATTGCACTTGGGAAAAGCAATGGAAGATGGCACCAGTACTGCCACTCACACAGAAAAACTAGAAGATTCTGGTTCCTGGCTTTGGATTGGCCCAGCTCTGGCTGTTGGGCCCATCCAAGGAGGAAATCAGAGGTCAAAAGTCATTCCCTTGCTCTCTGTGTAACTCTGACTTTTCAACAAATACATAAACAATTTTTTAAATGACAAAAATGTGTTTGATAGCTTCTAGAAGTATCTTCCCTTGAGATTACCATTTCATAACCTTCCTAGAATTTAGTAAGAAAAACTGAGATAAAATTCACTGATAGCCTAGTATCTCATCCTTCTTGTCCCCTCCATATCCACTTGGCTTTTCACTCCAAATACTTGATGAAATGCATAATGAGATCGCAGTTCTTTACAAAGTGGTGGATAAACGGACAAATTCTCAGCAAAGATAAAGGAGTATGTTCTCAAAGCACATCTGAATCTAAAACATCTTTGCAGTGCGGTAGCCCTGGGCTGGGTTGGGCGTGTTGATAGTTGACTTAAGAGTAGCTCTATTTAGGTGAGGAAAGAAAGATGTAACCATATGGAATCAGTGGAATTCGGAGTACGTCTGTATGCCAAAACAAACCACAGCAGTTACTCAGAAAGTGCTTCTTTCAGGCCCCCATTCCAGTGTTTATCCATGCATGGCAACCCAGGGACAACTAGGCATCCTTGTCACTTTGTTTCCATGGAGATGGAGACAGCCTCTGGTCTTTTTTTTTTTTTGTCAGAGACTGAGCACGTCAGCCTTGGGCCACTAGCCTTTCCTAACTCTCCACCCAGAGAAACAGCACATGTAGTCTGTCCTTTTTTAAATACAGACACATGCATGAAACCCAGGAGTTTATACATGCCTAGGTTGTTTTCTCAAGTGGAAAGAAAAAAAGGCTCTTATTTAAAAATAGAACTTGGCGAACAAATAGTCCATAATACGGACCAAGTGCGTTTGGAATGCTTTAATAAGAAGCAACAGCCAAAATATTTCACTTTGAAAAGCAGCCACTGTCCAGGCACGCCGTTCCTTGGGACAGTATAGTCTGTCACCTTTGAAAAGAGAAACACAGATTTCCAGAAGACCTTGTTTTTACTGGGCACCATAAATATGTAAGAAAAAGCTGTTTGTAAATAATTCACCAGTCCCCAGCTGATTAAAATTTATTTTTTCAAACCAAGAATCCTGTTTTCCCAAACGCGTACTGCATTATTGAAACGATATTCAGTGCTTCACAACTGTAAACTTGTTTCTTACTATTACATTCTACACGTCTCGTGCTATCCCACATGTAGTTGCATTTTACACACACAAAAACTTGACTTACACGCTCTTAGTTTGGTTTTCAGACTGGAACATTTGTATTTCAAAAAAAAAAAAACTGACATACTTCCCACATTTCTTACATTTCAGAAACATGGATATGAAACGTGGGGATTAATTATTTCTTCAAGGTTTGGGGAAAAAACTCACAGTGGATTCACCAAGCCACACATTTGGAGAATTGGACTAGCTATAACCTTGAATTGTTCCTGAAGGACTGACTCTTTAAGACCTTCTTGTTTGTGAATTTACAATTTAATTTTTGTGAATGATACCAATACAACCCACGTAACACAAAATCATGAGAGCAACTGTTTAAATATAGCATAGTTTTAAACAACTATGCATTATAGCCTTCATAATTCCCAGAAATATTTTTATTCGATAACTTTACTGGGTACTGAGCCTCCTTTGTCACTTCCAACTGTAAGTATGACCTCTGCTCATTTTGGCTTGTTTATTATTGTTTTCAGAGTCAATTTTTGACTGCTTTCCAGCTTTGCATTATATTTTAGTGCTCGTTTCCAATTTTTAAAAATTATCTGTTTCTTTTAACATCTCCATGTATTTTCCTTTCTTGAAACAGAAATATTCATAAAGCTCTGAATGACCACCAACTTCTCCTCTGGGCACATTAGGTAGGTGGCAATATGTATTCCTTTCATTTGATCAACTGGGTAAACAGCCTTTCATTTTGGCTTTGTCCTGGAGCCAATCATCGCTTAGATTATTTTTGCATCTCTGAGTGCTGGAATTGTTTTGCTAGAGAGGCAGAAAAAAAAAAGTGGCTGATTTCATAATTTCTCTGACTGCTTACAGATAATACGTCTTATACAAATCTGTGGCCTCTTGTATGTCAGATTTCTGGCTGCAAAGTCTAGAAAGGTAATCACCAGCCAAATTTAGATTCCTTGAAAAAAAACCTGTTGCTCCCCCGACCCAGCTCCCGTGCGTGATGACCACTTCATGCGGTTTTTATCAGACTGCTCAGTAAGTAACCAGAGATGTGCGAAGATCAGGGGCAGGGGCAGTGGCTCCCAGGAAGGACAGCCTCCCACCTGTCACACCAGGAGAAGAGTACTGAAACCTGGTCTGGATTTCCTTAAATTGGTGACATTTTCCCTGAAATGGTTTCCAGGTTTCCATTCCAAATCTCACTCGTTGGCATCCCCAGGTCCCAGACTCATCCACACCAGATGTCGGTCACGCGTACCCCTTTCTGCCAAGCCATCTGTGCCAGCGCTCCTTCAGAGCAAATTCTCACTGGGAGCCGAAGCACAGACAGGCAGTTCCTACCACACCCGCTTGCGACTCCTCCTGAAAGTTTTGCACAGGTAGAAATGGATTCAGTATTTGGGGAATGGAAGCAAATGTTTCCAAGCTATTTCCTGGCCTTTTTGTGCTATCCAGGAATGAGAGTAAAATTTCCAAAGCAACTGAAACCAGATCTGTGCTTTTCCTTCACAAAAGCCTTCATGTTCATTTATGCTCATTTCCCATCACTATTAGCAATCACATCAGTGCAAAGACGGAATTCAAGGAATTTGCAGGACTCGAGCAATTCAGCACGTTATTCATAAAGGCCAAGAGGGGAAACTTCTTCATGTTTCAGGTGAAAGTCATCCTTCACAATGAAAATTCTTACCCTTATTACTGAAACCGAAACGCTCTCAGGACCTGTATGATCGTCCTCACGACTCCACCGACAGCTACCGTAACGAAAGCTCAAAGCTGAATTATGGGCAATAGCCAAGCCAGCTCATTTTTTTTCAGTTTGGGCTTAAACAAGGTCTTGCCATCATCACAACCGAGAGCGCGCACTCACCTGTGCGATAGACAAAGTTGCCCTCCGTCTCTGAGGATGACGATGGAGACACCAACTCTTCCTCGAACTCATTGGAGCTAAAAGATCCCGAATGGTTTCTCTGCCTCGTTTTCCCCACCCTGGTGGTGTTTGTGGCCATGACATGTCTCAAAGAGTCGTTGAGGTAACGGTTCAACAAGCTGCTCTTGTACTTCGGGGGTGACACGTAGTCGTCGCTGGCCCGTGACTCTGGCCTCACCCCAACTTGGACAGCTGAGCTCTCACTTTTGGTCACAGTGTGATGACCTGGAGCAGGATAGGCCCCTTTGTTCATGTGGTCTCCTGGAGGATTCTCTCCATCTGAGAAGGAAAGATATCATTTTATGCATTTTCGTCTCAGTTGCCTCCTTGTTCGGGTCAATCCCTAAAAAATGCAGATGTGCAATGTAGAAAGTACATAAAACATCTTTGATATTTATGATTAACTCATGGCCCAAAGAATGCAGGAATAGGTGCTGGTATTGTGGCCAGTGAGTTAAGTCATCAACTGCAATACAAGTATTTCCTATGGGTGCCAGTTCCATCCCCCCGGCTGCTCCCAGATAGCACATCAGGGCAAGTCCTGGCAGCTCAACTTCCAACCCAGCTCCCTGCTAATGCAGCCGTAAAAACAGCACAAGACGACCCAAGTGCTTGCACCCTTTGGCCACCCTTGTGGGAGATCTGGAGGAATCTCCTGGTTCCTGGCTTGGGGCTGGCACAGATTTGACCATCGAAGCCATTTGGGAATGAATCAGCAGGTGTAAAATTCTCCCTCTCTCTCTAACCTTGAATTTCAAATAAATACATGAAATCTTTTAAAAAGGCAGGAACTCATTTAATTTTAACATATTTCACAGAAAATATTTTTTCCCCATGGACAATCAATCAATAAGCAAGAGGGGAGGTTATCCTTGGGGTTGTTTATATAATTGTGAAAATAGTATCATCTCATGTAATGAAACAGGAACTGTTATGTCACCATTTTTATTTTGTGGATTTCACCTTAAAAGCAGCCACTGAGGAACTACGGAGGTAAAGCCAAGAAAGTGTGTAAAAACAGGACAAACCTTCAGAACAAGAATCGTCGCTGCTCACGCTGAGCCGCTCAGCATTGCCTTGCACATACTTGTTGTACAGCTTGATTCTTAAAGCCCAGCTCAGATCTGGCTGCCGCACAGTGTTCTTCAGCCGCCGCCTCGCGTTTGCAAACCAGTTGGACACCTGCAACAGTACTGTGACTCAGTGAACAGCACACAGGACATGACTGTCCTGTGACTGGTGGGAACTGCTGATGGAGCTGAGCCTTTCTCAGCACCTCTGACTGGCCAATGTTCTCAGGATAGGAGAGGACTGCGCACACCATTCCTTCATTCACACACTAAACATACAACAGGTACACAGCAGAAATGAGTATCCTCTGCATCCTATTAATAAGCCAAAGTAGAGTTATTGCTTGGGACAGCAGCATCCAACATTAGCGCACCAGTGTAAGGCTGGCTGCTCCACTTCTGAGCCAGCTGCTTGCCAATATGCCCGGAACAGCAGAGCCCAAGCGTGTGGGGCTCTGTCGCCCAAATGTGGGAGCCCTCATGGAGTTCTTGGTTTCTGGATTGCTAGTGGCCCAACCAGGCTGTTGTAGGTAGGCGTTTGGGGAATAAACCCGCACCTGAGAATCTCACCTTTGCTTTCTGTCACTCTGCCTTTCAAATAAGTAATTAAAAAAAGAGAGAGAGATCATGGCTAACACAAAGAACACCATGAGGAAAGGCATGTGGACATTAAGAGGCAATGAGAAGGATCCAAAGGGAAGGTGGAGTAGTCTGGTGGATAGGTGACTACAGCCTTCTGGAGGCATCCAAACCAATCTTGGAGGAAAGTCAGGCAGAGAAGTAGATACCTAGGAAAGGAGACATGAGAGCAAATTGAATTTCGATTTTCCAGTGGCACCCTGGAGGATGGGATGAGGGAAGACAGAACAACGCCCCAGAATCGTCAGGCTTATGTAACCAAGAAAAGGAGAGACTACTTGGAGGAAGACGCGATGCATGACTTCTCTGACCACAAAAAAGAAAGGTTGGGTTGGGGAACATCCACCTTTGGGCTACACAGTGACAACTGAGTAGCGCAAATGGAAAGATCAAAGGCCAAACTTGAGGGGATCCTTCAACCCAGAAAACAAAGAAGGGCTGTCCAAACAGGAGCTGGCAAGACACACACACACACACACACACACACACACACACACACAGTGTAACAGACAGAGAGGGCGGGAAAGAGAGAGATCAGAGAGGCATGTAGGGAGGAGCTGAAAATCAGGTGTTTCCTAAGCAGACAGAAGACAACAAAGAAAGAACACTCCAAAACAAAGAAATGTGATTTCATTCTTGTTTTTTAAAGTACTACTGTATCTACTAAATTGACATCTGAGGTTCCCCCCGGGGGTGGGGGGGTGGGCAGGGGAACCAGGCTGTCACCAGTACACAGACTTTTCTTTAAAACAAAACCAAAAAAACCTGAAAGCACAATATGAGCTTTTATAAAAATGAAGCACGGGAGGAGAATGAAATCTTTCTGCCAGTTGGTTCCCAAACCTGCCTTGGGATAATGGTTTGTGTGGTCATGTTTGCACTGGAAGTTTCCTTTCTAAGAGTGTATTATAAATATGTAACTTTCACACACTGCTCAAGGCCTAATTATTGGATGGAATTGTGGTAAATTCTACTTTAAATGCAAAATCCCATTCCCCCGTTTTTCTCCTGAGGAACACATGGTAATTCTCCCACATCTGTCCAGTGTGCCTCAACCGAAAGTCACCATCCTTTTGAGTCCAGGTGTACTGGTGTAAGAGCTCACGGTGGCAGGTTGGCTGGCTGTCAAAGAAGCTGGCTTTCAGTACTGTGACTCAGTCTCATTTTGCAGCCTGTCTGTTACAACTTCTGGCAATACTCACTAATGTACTCAGAGGGGTAATCTTTGTCTCGCACTTTCTGGAAGCGCTGGCAGTACAGCATTAGAAACCATCAACCAGGACACACATGAGTATTCACTGTGGAAGCATCAAATGTCTGGCCCCCTTTGTTACACCCTCAAACCTCCTTCCTTCACTGACAACATTTTCATCCAACTCCTCACTACTAGTAACTACAGATTCTAGAACATTCTTCTCATCTTCTCTCCAATGGATCTTCACCAACCATCATCAAGCTCTAATGCTGATGCACACTTTTGATGGAATCTAGTTTCCAGGTTCTGAATTTGCCAGTCACAGTGTGTGAATTTAGCAAACCATTCGTCTTTCCCCAGCCTCAAAACCTTCATTGACTATGACACACATTTGATGGGTTCCTAACATCCCTATCAATGCCAAAGATCAATTTCTGCAATGAATAGCCCAAGATCTCCGGTCATCACTAAGCATCCTTCTGCTCTCCACTGCCACTCTCCAGAAATCCACCACTTACGCTTAAGTCCGCCCTGCCCTTTCCCACACACGGTGGACAGTTGCCTCAACTTCTGCCCCACTTGCACTGCTTAGAACCCAGTTCAACAACACTGTTACATTCTTAACAGCACGTACATCAGACTAACCTTAAACTTTAACACATCTGCCACAAAGCACTCATACAATGTAAAATGCAACTCTTGAGATGAAATTTCTCATGCAATTCCACCTGCAAGGGACTTCGGATCTACAAAGAATTAACCTGCTGTAACTGTAACACACACAAGTGTGAAGGTTTTCACGGGGGCTGGCTGTTTTTCACAGGTCCTACTCTGTTTTTGTTTAATATACTCAATCATAGTGCTTACTGTATTACAATCCTTGCACACTAGATTTTCCAAAACATCTCGCAGTATTTTAGCACCAAAATGTCATAGTACAGCCTGGCAGCTAGGTCCTGCAAACAGCAAACAGGAGGCTAACAAATCTGCATAAATGGTGTTCTGCAATTTTTTTTTTCCTGATGAATGAAATCAAACTCCATGTTTCACTGAGGGTTAAGGTGCTAATTTTATAACTTCTACGTACTATAAATTCCTTCAGGTTATTGTCAACCGTGTTTTCTTTGCATCGTGCTTTACACGTAATAGGCCTCCTCACCTAGGGTAGATTCTAGGACAATATTTGAGTGTCAAGCCTGTTGCTTAACAGAAAAGAACATAAAATAAACAAAACAAAACAAAAAATGAGTATATGGAGCTGAAAGGAAAAGCAGAGTGATTCCTGTCTCACGCCAACAGAGGTGTTTATATTCAGTATATTGATAGAGCAATCAGTACAGGGAAGCGAAAGGAATGTAACTGGCCTCCGTCCGCTGCTGAATGCTATCAATCCACAGATTGATTCTTGGTTATTCGGCGGTAGTCCTGAGTCCTTCAGTTCCACAATGTATAGTGTGACACTTGGACAAGGCAGAAGCAGCAGTCTGGGTTTTGCTGGTTACTGAAGCGCTGCCACAAGCCCCGCAGTCCATAATTATAACAGATATTTTTGCAGAAGCGGTCAATACCAAGCCAAACGCAGCCATGTCAACACGGGGATAGAATCTTGCAACATAGCAGCGTTAACAAAATGGTAAATTGACACACCACATGAAATTAAGACTTTTAAGAGAAGGAAGTGTGAAGAGGGAAGCTGCATTTCCTGCAAAATACAAAAACCCTAACTGCTGATCACCTGTTTATTCACCATTACACAATTCAGTTATGCTATGAAGTTAAGCTATTTTTGAAACGACACAGTAAATTTTCATCTGAGCAACGATCGGTCTTGCGAATCAAGGACTGTGGAATATTTGGCTGCTTAAGATCAAAACACATGGCCTGGCACGCTAGCCTAGTGGCTAAGGGTCTCACCTTGAACACACCGGGATCCCATATGGGCGCTGTTCTGATCCCGGCAGCCCTGCTTTCCATTCTGCTCCCTGCTTGCAGCCTGGGAAAGCAGTCGAGAATGGCTCAAATGCTTGGAACCCTGTACCCATGTGGGAGACCTGGAAGAGGCTCTGGGCTCCTGGCTTCAGATTGGCTAAGTTCCAGCCATTGTGGCCGCTTTGGGAGTGAATCATTGGACAGATCTTCCTCTCTCTCCTTCTCTCTGTATATCTGACTTTCCAATAAAAATAAATAAATCTTTTTTTAAAATCCCTAATTAAAAAAAGATCAAAACATATGCACATATAAGCAGTCATCTCCCCCACTCCTTTTTTTAAAAAAGATTTATTTTTATTAGAAAGGTAGATTTACAGAGAAAAGGGAGAGGCAGAGAGAAATATCTTCCATCCATTGGTTCACTCCCCAAGTGGCCGCAACCCGATGGCCAGAGCTAAGAAATGCCGAAGCCAGGAGCCAGGAGCGTCTTCCAGGTCTCCCAAGTGGATGCAAGGTCCCAAGGCTTTGGGCCATTCTCTACTGCTTTCCCGGGCCACAAGCAGGGAGCTGGAAATGACGTGGAGCACCTGGGACAGGAACTGGTACCTATTTGGGATTCCATTAGACTAACACACTGGGCCTCATCATCTCCCTTTTATTGTCACAAAAACACAACTCGTTAAGAAATAAGACGTCAAATCAATGGAGCAAATACTATCAGTTACAGAAATTATGAGGCACGGGCACGGGCCCGGCGCGGTGGCACAAGTGGTTAAGGTCCTCGCCTTGCACGCCCGGGATCCCATATGGGCGCCGGTTCTAATCCCGGCAGCCCCACTTCCCATCCAGCTCCCTGCCTGTGGCCCGGGAAAGCAGTCGAGGACGGCCCAAAGCTTTGGGACCCTGCACCCGCGTGGGAGACCCGGAAGAGGCTCCTGGCTTCGGATTGGCATAGCATCGGCTATTGCGCTCACTTGGGGAGTGAATCATCGGACGGAAGATCTTCCTCTCTGTCTCTCCTCTCTGTATATCCGCCTTTCCAATAAAAAAATAATAAAAATAAATCTTTAAAAAAAATTATGAGGCGCTAACAACCTAGAGAGTAGAAATAAACAAAAGCTGAATATCTGTTTCTTCCTGCCTCATTTTCCAAGAATAAAAAATGTAGGTGCTTGTGAATGGCTTCGGATCGACTTATCACAAAGCATATGCTCTACGAGGGTTCCAGCTTTTTTATTTCTAAGCTTCGAAGCACACTGCTAGCCAATCCTTACATGCTTCCTTACTAAATGTAACAAAAAAGTAAAACTGATCTACATCAAAACGCTGGCACACAAACCAAAGGAAAACATCAAAGTGCAAAAGAAATTCTTAAAAGGAAGTTTTGGAAAGCTTACAAAACACCAGTTATGCAGTTTGTTCACGGCATGAGAAAATGAGACAGGCAAGCCACTGTAGGAAGCAAGGAATAGAAACCAGGAAGACACCCCATCTTTGTCCACCAGCACAGACACGCCCACGATTGTCTGTAGAACATCTTACAGGGTCCCAGACCAGGAGCCGCCCTCTGCCTCCTACCGATACAGTTGACAACCTACTCAGTTTCCAAGACTTTCTTTATTGTGACAAAGGTGCCCCGGGAACTCACATGGTGATTCTAACGCTGTTTGCGAAAGGGACGCTGTCCGCTGTCCGCTAGGAGCACACAGAAAGCATCATGTTTAGGTGATGTAGCACACAAACGCACCGTCACTCTCTCGGCCCCTGACTCCGTGGGAGTACATTTACCTGCTGGGCAGTGTGCCTCACTACGCAAGGGTCTACGCTGCAGAGATCAAAAGCTTTATTCAGATCACCATTTTATATATTTTTTCCCTTTCCAAGTGTAAACTATTTACGTAATTTGTTTGCAACCCTGCAGCAGCATCAGGACTTAATCTGGATCCTGAATTTAGGTCTGACTTATACAAGCCCCCGTGTATTATATATTTTAGGTGTGTTTGTCGACATTTGGATTTATTTTTGTGATTTGTGTATTTGTGTGTATGTTACATGTATATAATCTTTCTCACATAGGCATCCCATTATACCTCGCTGAAAAGAACGGCCTGGAGCAAGCCTTGAGCCCGGTGGTCAAGAGGCCTGCATCCCATCTCAGCATGCCTGGTTTGAATCCCTGCGCTGCTTCTGAGCTAGCTTAATGCACAACCTGGGCCACAGTGGGTGATGGCTCAAATAGGTGGGTGTCTGCCCCCTATGTGGGAGACACAGACTGAGCTCCTAGTTCCTGGCTTGGGCCTGGCCCAGCCCCTTGTCCATCCCTGGTCCAACCCTGGCCGAAGTGGAAATCAGTGGGTGGTAGCTCTGTCTCTGCCTTTCAGATAACTGAAAGTAAATCAATAAATAAAAACTAAAAGGAAAGAACTGGAACTGAACTCAATTCTGTATAGGGTTCACTGTAAATTCCATTACATAGATTTTTTTTTTTTCCGTAATTATCCTTTTGAAGTTCCATCATCGCATCTTGTTTCTGGTAAAACTGAAAATTAATATGAGAGGGCTTCAAACATCTTACAGAAAATGTACATTTGAAAAAAACTCTGCATCACTTTAAGAAGTTTTTGTATCAAATATTGGTTAGCTGTAACACATTTTCCACACTTTCAAGTGGCCTTCGACAGATGTAACATTATAACTACTCAATCAAAAAATCACACATTCTGTCTATTCCTACTTTCAGGGGGGAAAAAAGAGGTTTTGAATGGAAATTCATATAAATTTGAAATGCTAGCTGCTTTTCCCAAGATTTAAATGTAAAAAGATTTATTATTTACATTTGAAATACCACTTCAACTTTATTTTAAAATAGCAACTGTTTGTTCTGCAGCTCAACAAAATAGCTGCCTAGGAAAATGCAAATCCCTTGCCTAGTGATTCTTCATCACCAAATGTGTTCTAAAATGTGCAATGATTTTTTAAATTTTTTTGCAGTGGCAAGCATTCAACGTGGAGCCACAGGCTCAACTAACACCGTCTTCGTTCCTGCTGACATCACACTGTGAAATGGTCCAAGAACTGTGAGGACGTAGGAGTTTCCAAGATAAACAGCCCACCTGTTTAAATTGAAATTTGAGCAAACACACTCATTTTTCTTGAGTTTCTCCTAACTAGAATAATCCATGCAGTATCTACCTTCTGTAAATCACAGTCAAGTTCACGGTTTTATGTCACACAAATAACAAGCCAAGAACAGAACAACCTGTGCTAACAGTTAGGAAAGTGTGTTCTGAAAATCAGCAACTACCTATCGGACCTCTGATAAGCTTGACCGCAAGTCGGCTTTCACTGCGTCAAACTTTGCAGCAATTCCTAAACGTCTATTTAACACATTCTGGAAAACTTACTTAACAACAAAGTTTATGGACAGTACATTTGCCAGAATGGTCCAAAATCCACCAAGGAAGCCAGTGGTTCTAATGCAATGTATTATGCTGCTGCCTCTTCCGGACCCCCTCCTCTTCCTCCTGCATCCACTGGTTGTGTGGTACAGTTACAGGAGGCCATACCACTTCAGTTTAAGAAGAAACCACGGTGCGACCAAAGCCAGCACTAGATTGGGACTGACTTAGTTCACGCTCCTGACACTGAACCTTGGAGTCGCGGTCAGCTCCCGTGAAAAACGTGGCTACTCAATGTTTGCCTTCGCCCTGCTTCTGGGAACAGCCAGTAAGATGCTGTTTGCACCAGCGACTCCCTCGCTGGGGCAGTCAGAGACAAAACCAGGTCAGACCATTTCTCTTTTCACAGAGTAGCCCGCCCATCCCAGCTGCCTCCTCTCTTCAATAAAAACCTATTGTGGGGGGTTGGGAGGGAAGGAACCAGCAAAAAAAGTGCTGTGGGTTCCAGCTAATATCATGATGTTTGCTTTTTAAGGTGAGATTGGGGAGGTGGGGATGCAAAAAGCCACCTCTTGCCTTTCCATTCCCACTCCTATCTGGGTCTGCAGAGACAGTTAATCAAGGTTAATTCTGTACTTGAGCGGCAGGCGGGCATTCTTCAAGTTTAGGCCCTGCCCCCGCAGCCTTCACTGCCACCAACAACCGGAGATGCACCAGAAATACAATTGGCCGCTGCCACGCACCACGGCCGTGTTGCGGCACCCGACATCCGGAAATGCCTTGAAAGTGTTTTCAACACTCCCCGCGGGCAGCAGCATCCCCGCACCTTCCTACAGTTCTTTGGTGATTTTCCCCTTTCTAGCACTTAAAGAGCGCTTGACCAACTCCCAGTCAGGCGCAGACCTTCCCGCACTCCGGAATTAGCACTTGGCCCCTGCCACACCTCGGACGTCCCAGGAGGTAGCGGAGGTGGTGGCGAGCAGGCCCAGCACCCGCACTGATGGCTCCCGGCGTGGACGGCCCCTTTCTGGCCCCGCACGCAGTGCATGGAGCGCGCAAAAGCCTCCGCCCGGCGCGGGCGCCCGAGGGTCAAGGTGGGCGGCTCCTTGCTCACCTGCACCAGCGTCATCTGGGAGCCGAGGGCCAGGAGTATCTTCTCGGTCTTGGTGGGGTACGGGTTGTCACGGTGCTTGTAAAGCCACTGCTTGAGGGGTCGCGCCATGTCCTGCAGAGCCTGGCGCTTGTGCCTCACCTTGCCGCCGTTCTGCCGGGATCTGGGACACGGGGAAGGAGAGAGGAGCGGCCCGGGTGAGTGGCGCTGACAAGGGGCTGGTGGGTCCAGTTCCTCCAAGTCCCGTGCTCCTCTGGGTACGGAGGTTCTGCGGTGCGCCAGGAACGAGGTGAGCACGAAGCACGGGGTGCTGGCCTCATCCCGGCACTTCCGAGCGGGGACACCTCACCCTTGCCTTCTGGTCAGGTAGGGTTGTGAATGCTGGGTTTATTTCCCCAAGGCGGAGGTGCGGGGAATGTTCACAACGCAGTCAAGGGTCACTCCAGGTGCAAATGGGGCGGCAAGGCCGCTGGCGGTCTAGCCTGCCGGCTGCAAGCCCTAGAGCGCCCCAGGGTCTCGGAGGGCGGGTGGGCAGTAAAGCAGAAGGCAGTCCCAGTTATCTGCCCATCGGCCCTCACCTATTTCCTTGGCTCCTCTGAATTAGAGAGAGAGAAACACCACAGCAAAGCTTCCCAGGGGAAAGGTGTGCAGAGTGAGGCTGCAGGCCTTCCAGGAGCCCGCGTCCTCCTCTGGAGACTGGGGGGACCCGGGCGCTGGGTGCTGCGCTGCGCTCCCTGGGCGCTCCGGGAGGTGTCGCCGCCGCAGCGCCCCGGGCTCGCGCCTCCCTCGGCTGCGCTCCTCTGGGCTCCTCTGAAGCCACTTTTCCTTGAACCCACCCTCATCCATCTGTAGTTCCCGAACCAGCCACGCCGCAGGACAAGCAGCTGACGCAATCGCTCAGGTGCGGTGGTGGACCTGGATGGCCTCGCCTAAGCTTGCCCAGGCGCTCCCCCGAGTCTCCAGCACCGGGTAGGCCCGACACTTGGGGTCCGCATTTCATTCCATCCCATCCCCAACACCCCCAATCCGCTAAAACGAAAGCAGCGGCCTCCCCTCCGGCCTCGCAGCGGACCCCGCCCAGGCGGGCGCCCCAAACCTCCGAGCTTGAGAGCAGAGGCCAGGGCTGCTCGGGGTCGACCTGTTGATCCCAGGCTGCTGGACCCTGCCTAGGACCTGTGCAGCCGGTTCCGTGATTTCAGCCCGAAAAACGGGAGCAAGGAACCCCCTACCGTAAGGTTCAGGGAGATGAGGGGCCGAGGGGGCGGCTCCTGGACTTCCCAGCAAGCCTCTTAACAACCCCGGCAAGCTATTCCTATTTTGAGAAACTAGTCCCATACAGTGGGAAATACTCCTGTCGGAGAGACGGGAACCCCGGGGTCCGTGGCCCGCGCGCCCGTGCTCCCCACTGGACCCCTCGCGCCGCTCGCCCATGGCTGGCACCATCGCACTCCTCGTCACCCCGCGCGCTCCGGCTGGTGCTCACCCGGTCCGTCGGTGTCGCAGGCCGAGGTTGTCCTTGAGGGGCGGACCGTCGGGGAGGCCCACCTCGGGGCGGCCGAGGGGACTGTCCAGGACACTGCCGCCTCCGAAGGGCCGACCGCCCCTCTCCCGCTCCGGAGCGCCTCGCTCCTCGAAAAGCACAGCGCCACTGAGCTTGTTGAAGACGATGGTGTTCATGGTGCGGGCTGGCGGGGGCGCACGGTGCGGCCGCAGCGCCTCGGGGCCGAGCCGCCGGGAGCTCCACCACCGGACTGGGATTCTGGAACACGAAGGGGGCGCATCCCATTACTCGCCCGCAGCCCCCGAGTCTCCGAACTCAGCCGAGGGGGAGGAGCGGGCGGAGGGGCCAAGGCGGGACCCACAAGCCCCCGCCTTCCCGCACCTGGCCCACCCTCCTCTCCTTGATGGGCCCCTTTGCTCCTGGCCTTAGGCGGTCCCACCCACGCCTTTCCTCCGGCGGACTTGTATCCGCGAGGCCACCGTAAGCGATTTTCAGACGCACCTCCTGGTGGCCGAGTGCAGCGCCCCAAGTTGCTAGCCGGTCAGGCACCCGGAGGCGAGCATTTGGAAAAGGAAGATTTGGAGTAAAAGGGAGAGAACCGCGTCCCTTGGGCGCAGTTCGTGAGTCCTGGGCCATACCGGGATATCGGAGGCGTCATTGTTTTCTACATTCCGGGAAGGTGTTGGCTCAGACCCTCTGCAGTCTGCTTTCCACTAAAGTCTCTTGGTGTAGGGACAGGGAGGCGGCAAGGGACTAGGGATTTTAGGAGCAGCCTCAAGAACTGGACAGCCAAATGGCATCAGGGACAAACGCGCCTCTTCCACACCTCTCTCTCCCCCTAGCATTCCTCAGATCCCTGAGGACGCTCTAGGTTGCAGGCAAGTCCAAGATGTCCCAGTGCCCAGAGCCATGGAGTTGGGATGACTTACATCGCAACGCGTCAAGGAAGCACTGGTTCAGAGCCCCCTCCACACCTACTCCTCCTGTGGGGGGCTTGGGGAGAACCTCGGACACCAAGCAGCGCGGTCCTCGGACCTGGGCGGACGGCCCGCTGCTCACCTGAGCGGTGGTGGCAGCAGTGTCTCCTCGCGGGCGCACAGTCGTCCGCCCCCCGCATCTGCCCGCGAGGCGCCTAGGGGCAGCTCCCTGCGGCCTCCAGCTCACTGCCAGCGCCCCCTGTCCCACGCGCGCACACACACACACACACACACACACACACACACACACACCAGCATGCCTCTTCCTTGTGCCTGGCCAAAGCGCCCCGCCCCGCCCCACAGCTGCCTGCGGGACAGAAGGCCGGTGCCACAGCGAGAACGGCTCCTGCCAGTATTTCTGGGGGGGTGGAGGGGGGACAAGTCGAACCCCCGGCGCCCAGCTGCGAACAGACAGGTTCGTGCCCAGTGTGTGCACACGGCCCTGGCGACCAGCATCCGAGCCCATATGCACGCTCCTAGCCACCGATCCACCGTCAGGACTCGCTTAGTTTCCCGTTTTTAAAGCACTGTGCTTAGTGACGTGCGCGCACACTGCTATCCTCTGCCAAGACACCCTGCCCCAGCCCCTCCGTCTGCCCTCACCCCAGCCTGGTCCCCCACCACCCCCTCACTACCTCCAAAGCAACGGGCTGTTCTTCCCAAAGAAGGATGTGGACCCTCTCGCTTTCTCCCGGCTGTCCCAAGGCAAGGGAGCAGTCACGGGCGCGGCGGCGCACGCCGTCTGAGTCTGCAGCAGCAGCGGACGCCCCGAGGCAGAGGCCCGAGAGCTTCATTCTGCACGGGGTTCCCGGGGCGTGTGAACCGCAGCTCCGGACGCCGGCGATCGTCCCCTACGCCCGTCTCTCGGCATCGCAGGCGTCCCGCTTACCGCGACGCGCTCCGAACTGCGGCTGTGGAGTTCAGTCCCCGCGGACCGCTCCGCCCAGCGCCCGCCTAGCAAAGGAGGCGCGCGGCCAGGTGGGCTCGGAGGCTCCCGGTACAAGACAGTGGGCCCGCCTCGGCCTCCGCGGGGCCGCGTCCCCACCGGATTTTCGGAGGGAGTCGGGGAAGCGCGAGGAGCGCCGAGGTGCTCCCTGGCAAAGGGGGAAGGCGCGCGCTGGGACCCCGGCGAGCAGCCGCCACTGTGCCCCCGGACTGCACCTTACCTGGGGCGGAGGGGCCGGCGGCTGGCGGCGGGGCGGCAGGCTCTCCCCGCTCGAGGCTAGGCACACTCCCATCCCCGCCGCATGGTCTCCGCGCCGGCTGCAGCGCGCTTACCGCCCGCACCGCCGCCGTCTCGGCTTTATTTACCCAGACAGGCGCGCGCGGCCCGGGAACAGGAATACGGAGGCCTTCTCATGTTTCCTGACTGCCCGGCCCAGCCGGCGAACATCCTGTGGGCGCGGTATCCACGTTCCCGGGCCGTCCACCGCCGAGCCGTGCGGGGGGCTGCTGTTAACCCCTAGCAGCGAAGACGCCGCTGGAGATGCCTGCTCTCATGCCACCGAGGTTACCTCTCCAGGCCAGGGTGACTCCCAGATCCCACCGCCTAGGGAAAACCCCTTTTCCTTTTTGCGCTGCGGGGAAAGACATTGGAGAAGCCGCCGGGAGCGCTGGGTTTCAGGAGCAGGAGCTGGAAGCTGGACCGAGGTCTTTTGCTGTCCCAAGCGCCCTAGGCGGGGAAGGTGACTGGGACGCTGCTCAGAGATGTCCCCGCGGTTAAGGTTGGAGGCAAGTCAGGACAGAGCTGGGCTTGGCGCCTGCAACGTAACTACGGGGCGCGCGAGCTGCCTGTCTGAAAGCTTCTGTCTGCCCTGCTGCCTCGCACAATTCAAGACCAAGCATCCACGCTCCCCTCCTGGGACGGCCTGGCAGTAAGGTGGACCGAAGACCAGGAGGGAAAGAGGTGAGCTTAAGTGACCAACCTGCGGCGCCCACAGGTATGAAAGACAAGGCGCCCCTGGAGCCGGGCATCTGTCTGCGAGGAGCAGAAAGGGGTGCAGCTGGGGAAGACTCCAGAGCAAATGGTCTACGGTCACGTGTTGCTTCCCACTGCTGCCCCAGATGCCCTGGAAGCTGGGGGTGGGGGGAGAGTGTTGCAGAAGGGGGGGAGGTCGTCTGCCTTCCTGGCCATGGCCCTGCTACCCCACGCCCCCCAGACCTCACACCTTCCACCATTGTTCCCCTTCAGAACGAAAGAAAACTTCCGGACTCCTAGGTTGACTGGTCAGCCCCAGAGCAGCGTTCCACCTAAGCGAAGTGTATATGGGCTGGAAGTGGATGCAAACAGAGATTGGATCTATCATTCATGGATTATTCCTAAAAGGAGGCAGACGCTTGCATGCTACAACAGGCCAGCTCCCCTACCACCCAACAGCGAGCCCCTTGCAGCCCGCAGCGCCTAAAGCCAAAAGGTGGGCAGCACTTCAGCACACGGGATGCCGCGCTGTCTGTTATCCCTGCATCCTGCTCTCCCCGGGGCTTCTCGCGTTTTGTAACTTGCACTTCCTTGCACGTTGCTTTGGTAAGCGGAGCGAGTGGGTACAGAAGACAAGCTTGGGACCGCGGACTCTAGGAATTCGGAGCTTCCTATCCTGATTTTCAGCGACTGGCCAAGCTGCATAGTAGAGGCAGCTGTAAGGAGAGCTGGGTGAAGGGGGCATTCCCTCTGAGGGTCTCTGTGAGTGATGGGACTGGCTGGACACTGTCAAGGAGTCAACCAGGCACACGCCCCGCCCACGCAATTTCTGATCAGCGGGGCCGCAGTGTGGTAAGTAGTTGCTTGTGCTTTCACAATGTTCCACTGATTTATTAAGCTCTGCTCTGGTCCGTGCCACTGGAGGGGAAAAAAAAAAATACATTTTGTTGTTTCAGCTCCTAACTATTTACACAATTTAAAAAATGCACCAAAAAAAAAAAAACCACTTTGATTTACCTGGAAAGTTTTGGGTTTTTTTTTTTTTTTAAGCTTGAATCTGTCTGCGAAAGCCTTAAAAAAATTCCTGCGTTGGAATAATAGTTACCTTGGTCAAATAAAAAATCTCAGGTGAAGTCACTGGAAAAAATATGAGCATTCGTTGAGACCATAGCTTAATCACTGTAAAATGAAAAAGCAGTGGAGGATCCCTTCTGAAAACGAGGCGGCGTGAAAAAGTCAAGTGCACATTTGCTGAGTGAAAGGCTCAGATTTTATCTTTGCCAATTTTCTCTCCTATGGAAGAGGGAAGTCTCCATTTTCAGGCACCATTGAAATGCGTGTATCGTTTTGTTCAATTTCACCGTACGAGAAATGGATTTTGCTCAGCTTCTCCATCTGTATGCCACTGTCGGCGTAGGAAGTGCTGTGTTGTGACCCTCGGGAGTGGAACATGTGGCTTTAGCCGCCACTGCTGGAACAGTTCAGAAAGCATCTGCCCTTTGTGCTAGGTGACACATGTCGGAGCAACACAAAACGTAAGCCAAGTCAGCCGACCTGAGCCCTGCGCGTAGCATAGTAGTTCTGGTTAATTTGACTTGGGTTTAGCCAGAATTCACTACAGTGTAAAATGAAGATCCATTTTCCGTAAGCTTGCCTTACACGATTATTCCAGTGTATTTTTTGCTATGTGAAATCCCATACTGTTCTTGCTGAAGCTAGAAGGGCGGCAAGGACACTTGACAGATACATCAGTCCACTGTGTTGCACTTCAAATGGTATGTGAAGTTTTCTTCCTGGTAAACAAAGAACAGAGAAGCTTTCAGTCAGAAGTTTTGTAGTTTTTTACCCTGGTACCCCAACATTTCAGAATAAATACTGGTCAAAATGAACACAGTGTGTTTAAAACTCTGTTCCAGTTGTGACTTCCAATCTGGTAACGACCACGACTGGCTGCTCAGCTGGTGGAAAAAAGCCACTTTATGCACGAAGCCGGTTTGCCTCACCTGTGGCCAGTTTGCCTCTCATCTATACACAAGGGTCTTCAAAAAGGGCAAGAAAAATAAGTAGTGGGTGTGTGGGGAACCATGCATGGATTCCAGCTTTGGGGGAGCAGGGTGTACCAAAATAAGCATCTTTTAGTTCCATCTTTTTCCAGGAGTATTTTCGGTCTCCCTCATGAATACGGTTCCTCTTGCCATTCCCTCTTCTCATCCCCACACACAGAGGAGTGACTAAGCTGAGAGATGTTAAGTGCAGAAATGCTATGGGCGAACTAGGAGGC